AATTAGCACCAAGGAAGTTATGGTTCAGTTACTAAACCTAGGAGTCATGTCTGTGGTTTGTGGTTTTTGAGGATAAAAAGGATTGCAATGAGGAGGTTGGTACCCACTTGATCAAGCTGTCTACCTGACCGCTTGCTCGTGATGGTCGGCATTGCAATGTGAATCTAAGTGGGTGGTCTGCATTGCGGTGTGAGTCTAAGTGAGTACCTTGTATCCTATTGGTTGAATTTTACTTGCTTATTGAACTAACATTTAATAAAGCTTTTAGAACTTTGACTTGTTTTATGGTGTGTCTGCCTCCCGTGTTTAATGTGGTTTTTTCCCTGACAGGCCAAACCAGAATATAAATATAGAAAAATCATTTTTTTAGGAGGAAGAATTAGATGATTTTTTTGACAGCAACCACGTTCCATTTTGTTTTGCTTTTTACTTTCTTTTTTTCATTTTTACTCAAGGGCATATGAAATATTTTATTTACAGATGACAAAATTTGCTTTCTGTTCCAGCAAGTACAGTTTCAAAATGCTTTATGGAACAGATGGAATGTGTTATAATGAACCTTAATGCAAAAATGGCCTCAAGATCTGGTGACCATCTTTAAGAAAAGGAATGATAAAAGACCAATTTTATGGAGAAACAGAAGCAGCTAGATTAGAATTCATCAAATATTTAAACACCATTTCCTCTGGATTACACAGAAGTTGGGGGGAGGGGGTTATACTAGCCATATTCTAATGCAAAGATGTCTAGAGCACTCATAGCTACTCCTTTATTATTGGTCATAATCTGTAGGTAATTCTTACCTCATGGCATCACCCAAACATACAAAAGGGGCAGATTTTGTGTTGTGATGGTATGGGGCTGCCTTCACCATTTTGATCCTCTGCTCCAAAAGTTTATATGACAACACGTTTGCTAGTCTGTAAGGCAGATATGTGGACTTCAATTCCCAGAATTCCCCAACCAGCATGAAGTCCACACATCTTAAAGTCGCCAAGGTTGAGAAACGCTGCTGTAAGATGCTGCATTCTGAATTGGTAAGGTGGTGTTTGCAGGGCAATTTCCAGTTCCAAGCAACAATGCAGTTAGAATAATAAGTAAAGTTTAGGTCTGAAGGAGCTCAATCACTTGGAAAAATATGATTAGCCAGTGCAGTTTTTCTGTATGCCTATGACAAATAATGATACAATCTCTAATTTCTGTACCAGCTTTGATATTTACTTAGTCAATTACCCCTAAAACATACCTGGAACATTAACAGAACTGTGTCTGACTTTGTTCTTGACCAGCTGAAACTTCTGCCAGGACATATTTCATGGTGCCACTCTGTCCATGCAAAACTTCATCTTCTGAACTGCAGAAGTAGAAAATGCAGAGAAACATAGTTGGCCTAGCAATGAACTGTTTTTAAAAACATTACAATTCCATGGAAGCCTGAAAATAGCAAATCACCCTGGAACTATATAACCCATTCACTGTGTTTGTATTGCCAGTAGTGCTCCCTATAGACTTCCCCCCACCCAGGATAGACACAGAATCTGCAAACCACCAATCAGTTCCCAAGAAAATGAAAGGACATCCTGCAGTAAGCTAACAAACAAGGACTGAGTGGTTTTCTTTTCTAGTTTTGAACTGTCCCAGCAATGGTCAAACAATTTCATTAACTTTTTAACATTTAGCATTATTTATATTCAATGAAGCAACCCTAAAAAACTCCATCATACCCCAACAATGACTAGTATACTTACTTATAGCCACATCCAGTGACCTAGCCATCTCTGGCTGGTCTCAAAATGCTACGCAAATTCAGACCTGGTCTATATTTGGATGGAGATCACCAGGGCTCTTGGTTCAGACTTAGAATTTGGAAAAAAAAATCCAGAAAATGGCAATGACAACTCATTTCCATATAGTGCCCGGAAAATTACAATCCTCCTAGGTTTGTTGTATCAAGTCAAATTCAACTCAAAGCACACTCTGTCTTAAATTCCATTAAACTACTTTAGCCTCCAGAGATTCAAAATGTTAAGCACATTGAGCTATGTAAAACTAAACTAAAAGTACAAACAATCGTACAAAGATGCACTACTATTAAGTATATTACTATTTATTTTCTGCTTTGAGATAGGAATGCCATCAAAGAAAAGAGAAGTAAGATCCATCCTCTCCTTGCGTCTTTATTCCCTGACTGTCTCATGCTGACTTATTTGAAATTTAACACCACAGGAAAGGCCCATCAGATCCCATTCACTTTGAGGACAAGGAAGCAAATGATGTCATCATTCCTGCTGTAAAAAAGTCCAGGAGCTGTACTACCTTTCATCACACCACCATTCCACGGCCTCCACAGAGCATCTGTTAAAATATTTGAGAATACAAACATTTAAGGAAAGGCATTCTACATATAAATTCTGAATTTCCAAAAGATGACTGCTTTTTTGGTTTGAGTTGGCCTTCCTCAAGTGGTGCACTTCATATATGTTGAGCTTCAATTCCTAATCTTCATAGCCAACACATCTGGAAAGCACCAGCAAAGGGAAAGCTAGCTTAGTTGTTCTGTTTCTTCATTTAACTTGTTAGCCCTTGCTCTGTTTTTTCATTTAACTTGCTTTATTAGTCCTTGCTTCTAATAAATTGTTGCAGGCAGGCAGAGAGTTTAGTCATTTGAAAACCTCATTTCCTTTGCTTATGGTTATGTGAATGTCTTTCTTAAGTGACATCAGTATGAAATTAGTAAACATGTTTCCCGTTGCTCTGGTGGAGTCATAGCAGCATATGTCAACCCTGTACGGTGTCTTCTTTGTTATATATGGCAGCCACACAGCTAAATGAGAGATTTTGTGGTTGTTGGCGCTTGCACAGGCAAATGAATACTTTCACCCTTCACTGTTGGAAAAGGTTGTGAGAATCAGAGAGAAAGGGAAAGCAGGAACTTTTCACACTCACTCTTTCCCGGAACAAAGGCAGCATCAGTTTCATCTATGGCTAAATAAATAGTGACTTAACAGAAAATTCATTATGAGCTCCATATGCAAGAGACTGGGATTATATTGGTTTGCTTCATAAGTAATAAGAAGGTTGTGGATATACTGTAGTATCTGAGGGATGTAAACAAGCATAAAGAACCTAATTGCTATAAACTGGAAGAGAAAGGAAACAAACAGTGATTTTAGATAATGCCTGTTGCTTTCTAGAATACCAGGACTCTGTATCAAAACAGCTCCAGACCTCTGTGATCCCCTGACACCAGCTAGGTCTGGCAACTGAGAAGATTTATTTCCACCTCAGCTGTGGTATAACCCAAAGGCAACAGTTAAAATAAAATATAAATCCCGATAAAGGTCTTCAGAGTTTTTGCACAATTGATTGGAGGATACTCTTGCCTATTTTCCCAAGTTCCCAGAGGCCCCACAAGAGGCCCTCCAAGGGAGCATTAGCAGGGATAAAAGGGCAAAAGTTCAATTGGCCTTTTCAGCAGTGAATGAATGAATGAACGGGCACATAAGGTGCAATGCTACTGGTTTCTTGTTTTTATCTTGCCACTTTCTCTTTTCCGTGAAGCAAGGAAGGAGGGGGAACTTTCAGGTAATTTCAGTGGAAAACACATGCATTTTGTGGAGAACAAATTGCCCCTCTCCCTCACTTCAGTTGAATATGTGTAGCTCAGGGTTGAACTGTGGAGTCCTTCTAGCATTGAAGATGTTACCTAGCCAGCCTTGAAATGTTTGCAAGAAAACAACCAAGCTCAAAGAACCCCAAGGACTCCACAGTTCAACCCTGAACTACACATATTCTCTTGTATTGGCACCACATATGAGCGTCAAACACTTTAGAAAGCATGCAGATGGGAGAAATTTGCTTGCAGACAAACCTCCATCAAGGAACAACTATTCCTTCTACATGAATGCCTACAACAGCATACCCTGCCCACCAGCATCAGATACAAACCTCCAATAAACTGCACAGCTGGATGGAAAAGAGTGCAACAAAGTAGCCATAAAATGATATGACTAATGATCATGAATGTATACCTCAGACTTAACAAATACCAATACACCATAAACAACCTCAAGGAGCAACTAGAGCAAACCATGACCCCAGAGCACACAAATATACTGACAACCACCATCAAGACCACATCCCTAAGACAAGCTGAGAAAAGCAAAACAGAACTTCAAACTAAACTGCTCAAACTAAACCCCAAAAACAAAGAGGTACCTGAACCTGATTGGATAATCAACATGTCCAGCCGACCACTATCCACTGCAGAACACAATATCCTCCAGAAAGGCCTCAACTATAACATAGACAATGCTAATCAGCTAGAATTCTGTGCAGCCTTAGAAGTAGCATTTAAAACTACAGGACTTAACACGGAGACCCAAGAAAACATAAGGCAGATAATCATATCACAGATCAGAACACAGTATCAGCACCAACTCAAAAGAGAGGACAGAACAGCCCTCAAAAGCCTAAGAAAGAACCAAACCATCATCATCCTCCCAGCAGACAAAGGCCGAACCACAGTTATTATGGATAAATTACATAACTTGCAAAAAACCAAAAAATTATTAGAGGACGAAGAAACCTACATCCCAGTTAACACCAACCCAATACAGAAACTAGACAACCTAATCAAGAGAACCCTTAATGACCTAACCAAGAAAGGCCAAAACAAATGGTGAATGAAAAGCAGTGGGCCCATCCTCCCACATTTCTATGGATGACCAAAAATACACAAA